TGTACTTATTTTCTTGATTTCTGTATCAATCATTCTGAAAAAAAATAATATTCTGTACAGTTCTTAAGACACTTCAAACTTTCATTTCTTCTAGTAGTAGAAAAAAACTTCATAGTGAAGAGTAAGAACCTCAAGCGTGGTGGTAGGGTTTGGTGGTTTTGGATCTTGCCTCAACTTATGCAGTAGCTAAACTTCTTGTTGAGGAAGACAGAAGAATTTTACCCTTGAAGTGACTTGTAGGGTGTACATATCTATTCCCACTTGGATGCAGTAAGATGCTACCTGTTACTGTAATGCTGTGTATACGAAATCCCTAAAGGAGGAAAAAAAAGCCTCTTGTGGCTAAAATGGAAAAAAAAAAAGCTTCCAAGGGGAGTAGTGCAGTTCTGAAAATAAATACGAAGTGGAAATATCACCATCAAAATTGAAAGGTGTCCAGCAGCACCAAAAAAGACAAGTGGAAAATTCCTCCTGCCACCTGAGCCACATTAAACAGTGTGTATACCCTAAACATTAAATATACTTTGTCGCCTGAGGTTAACTTTCCCCTTGCATCAGATCTTGCCACTTGAGAAGTCACAAAATACCAACTCTCGGTTACCATACTTCATTTTTCCTAAGGTTTAAGAGGTGCTCAGATTACTAATCTACAATTAGTACAGGTTATAATTAATGTTAAAGGGACAGTATTTTGAGATGAGGTTGAACTAAACAAGATTTTGTTTTATAAAAAAAAAAAAGCAAAAGCCAAAGTACAGCATTTGGGTACTGCTCTAGGATAGACTCCCTGCGTTTCCAGTTCTGGGGTTTCGGAAACACCTCTGTAAGCTACAGCTAAGGCAGCAGACAAAGGCGGGGGGTGGTGTTAACACATACAGGCTCGCCCAAATGACCTTACTCAGGAATCGTAGGTCTTCCAGCTGTAGAGAACTATTTTCACTTGATCTCTTTGCCTACTCCAAAATCACAACTGACCCTAGAAAGTCTTAAAATACTGAAAAAGCCCTTCTGTGCTCGTGTGCACTTTGAAACAAATAAATTTTGAAGAGTATTACACATTGACATAACTGCATAAAATATATCTTAAACACCAGATGATGTCACCATGTAAGCTTGAACTATGTTTTTAGCATGATCAGTGGTGTCTCTAAGAGTTTCTTCAAGTCTCCCAAAACCACAGTGGAATTCCCTTCAGTTCTCAAATAAACTCTTGTTTAGACACCTTGCTGAATACCTAAATTCTGTAGTACTGTCCTGAGCAGTATTTCAAAAGCTAGTTCCAAATAGGTCATTCACACAGCTTTTCACAGAAATACAGACTTTACAGCAAAATAAAATCCCACTTCTGATCGAGTAAATGGGCGTTGCACCTGGATAGGTCGAGCTGTGAGCTTCATTTGCTGAAAATTCATTCATATACTACAGCGCAAGAAGAAACCTTCCTGAATTCCTTTTTCTTTTCAGGGACTCGATAACAAGAAGATGACTGAGGAGATCAGCGTAACTCACCAACCAGACTTCAGTAGTGAAAATTAAGGCATTTCGTCTATCAGTGCTATTTAATGGAAATAAAATTTTCACTAAAACAATACATCTCCCTGCTTTTCACACCTCTGAACGGAAGCGTGTAAAAAGGTGGCAGAAAACAGTTTCTGTACTTTCTAACTCTGTCCGTAAGCCCCTGTGGTTTTCTTTTGCTATTCTCTATGTTGACTGCTCTTCATCATACCTAAACTTCCTGAGATCAGTGTTCTATCAAACTTAATTTTTTTTTTTAGGCACAGTAGCAGAATGAAGAGATGACCCTAACCAAAGCCATGTATGGCCGTTCACGTCACAGGCGCTGTGCTATGAACACAGGCACAGGCCCTACTCGGTGTCTTGGTACTGACCCTCTGTGGAGGACTGCACAGCTCCAGTGCTGTGTCAGTTTTAAAAATAACTGGAACAACAACTGAGTCAAATTTATTCAAGTCAGGTTACTTTACAGGGTGTAACCTCTTCACCAATGCATCAAGTGAAAAGATAAAAACAGTACTGGTTTCACTTTCTTTTTACAGCCACAGTTGCTGTAATGGGGAAATTAAGACTTTTTTTTAATTTTTCCACAGCCTATAAAGCAATACCTTGCACAAGTTCCAATAAACTCAGAATTCATTTCTATATATTACATTTTCAGTGAACGCATTTTTCTTTTTTTTTTTCCCTGTGAGAGTTGAAAGATTTAAAATAATACTACAGTAATACACTTACATTATATGGCAGGGTTCATTTCTGTCCTTCAAACAGTGCCCTATTTCCCATTTCTTTTTTGTAGGAAATGTAGTTTTAATGTATTTGGATCCAGCATGAGTATTCTTCACTCCACACCAAGGCGCATCTAGTTTAATTTGGAAAAAAAAAAGAAAAATATTCAATTGTTTGCTTTCTCAAATGCAGAAATTAAAATGAATACTGTATTTATAACTGCCAGTTACTGATAACTGAAATGAACCTTAAAAAAAAAAAGAGGCATCCCTACTCAGTCAAAATCCCTGCTCATTAGGCCAAGAGGGGAATTCAAGCGTTCTTCCACCTTATTTCATGTAAACAGCTGTTGTTTCCAAATGCCGTTACTGTTCCTGTGGCAAGCTCACAGCGTTGCCCTGGGTTTGGCACACCTCCAGCAAGCTAGACTGTAAAGGATATTCAAGCAGGATTCTGGTACTTCGGTACATTTAAAAACCTGGGCTTGTCAATCTGTCCTTTTCGTCTTCCCCTGCAATGTCAGGAACAGCAGAAGGCTGAAAAGGAGTATTTCTGGAGCCTGTAAGGTGCTTTCCAAAGTGGAGAAAAAGCCAGTCCTTTTTCTACTCCAAACTCCTTTGGTCATGATTCTGCCTTATCATTGCTATACAAGCATATCTCATTGCCTCATCATTGCTACACAAACATATCTCATTGCCTCATAGTGTTTAAGTCACAAACTGACCAAGATATAAAATCTTACCAGTCTCTATCATTAATCGTTCACTAGGAATTGATTTCAGTGTTTCCAAGTTGGCTTCTGTTTTCAATGAACTAGAAAATCAGAGTTTGGTTAAAAAAATATTAAAAAGAGTACAAAAGTAATTATTTTGCCTGTTGAAGTGTTTTGCAGCAAAGGCAGCTTCCTAAATAATTTTGTTAGTGAATAAAATTTGCTTCATTTTTAAAAGTGCTGCCTGTAAACTCAAACTTTGCAGAACGTGGCAAATTTGGCAAGTTACTCAGTGAAGCCGTCTCACCTCAGTAAGCATGCAGAACCCCTGCCTGCACTTGCCTGGCCTTGGCAACCCCTGCAACTTAGAAGTAGTGCTGGCTGGCTTTTGGCCAAATGACTGCTGAGAATTCAGAGTGCACAACCAGTAGATAAGGCGGCTCCGGTTACATTTGCATGCTGGATTTGATATGGCAGCTTAAAATTATGCTATTTTTTAAACACTTCTTAGAAGGACTGCTTCCACATTCAACCACCTTATTTACCAACAAGGACAGACCTGAGGGTGGTAGAATGGACCTAAGACTAGATTAACTTGCTGAGCTGTGAGTTAAGGACTTTTTA